CAGGGCAACTATATTTTTTTTAAACTCTCCCTTGGTGTTACATGTTGCTTTCTAGTCCTTACAGTGTCCTGGAATGGATAACTGCAATTTTGGCTATCTTTTGAGAGAAATTTAATTTAAAAAATATCTTAAAGAATACTATGCAATCCAGTTTTACATATTTTACATAATTCTTCACCTCTTGTTTAAGAGTTTAAGAGTATACATTGAGTGTTCTTTCTGACATTGTGTCTGATGATTTTAAGACTTACTTTTCTAAGCAACCAAAACTAATTATAAATCCATCAGCACATATGAGTCAATGATTTCTTTCCATGTACATTTTTCTGCTTTTGTTCATTGGGTCTGCCATTAAGTTTCCTAATTATTTTCAGTAGGTACTTAGAATCCTCTCTAATAGTGGCTAACCTATGTTATTCATCATCCTCAACAAATTATTTTGCCACTTTTTATTCACTTCACCTTTACACCACTAATGAATGCCTGGGAAATTGGTCCTCATACTCATGCCTGGGAGTATACCACTATTAACCTCTTTTTAATATGAGCACAGTTTATATCACCGCCCGATGCTGCTTTTAAAGGAGAAAGTGAAGTGGAGAGATCAATCAAAAGCATTCACTTGATGTTTATTATGTACCTACAAAGCGATGGAAATCAGGTTTCACAGCCTTGTTCTCTGAGAATTTAGGATGTAGTTTGGCAGAACAGCAGTTCAATATTAAGACAATAAGCATTAATTGCTACATTGTAACTATGACTTTAAATAATACAGGATAATAGCTTATGATTGGGCAGAAAAAGTAGACTCTCAGACGCATTTTCTTTAAAGATCTTACAGAAAACAAAAAGGAGGTCATCATTCCAGACCAAGGAAACAGCAAGTGCAAAAAGCACAGAGGCAGAGTTAAGGTCTATTGGAGGATGATAAAAAAAACACACCAGGGATCCTCCTCATTGGCAACCATGAAATATCTATTAGAAAAGATAAGATGAAGTCATTGCATTCATTTGTTGTTGATATTTTTTATTCAACAAATACAGGGTGGGGCAAAAGTAGGTTTACAGTTGTAAGTATGCAAAATATAAGTTTACTCTTGTATTATTATTTATTAATTACTATATTATTTTCCATACAAACAACTGTAAACCTACTTTTGCTCCACCTTATTTACCCTGAGTTCCCATAGTGCTTTGTCAAGGTGTCAAGAGCAATACAGAAAAGAATTTGGCCGATTCTCTGCCTCAGAGAGCAGTATAGTGCTATGTGTGTGGAAGTACCAAAAGTGCTATAATGGTAGTTTGGTATCATCAGATTGTAATAGTTTGAATGTCAGGTTTTTAAAATGTTTGGACTAAACTTGAAAAGACTAACATGACACTTAATTTATTTTTTATAAGGGATCTTACATTCTCCCTTTAAGACTTTTCTCAGGTTTCTGTCTTTTTGTTGTTGCTTGCTACTTCCTGATTTTTATTATGCTTTAAATACTGTATTAGATACAAAATACTAGTAGATGTCTTCTTCTCTAGTCTGTCCTATGGACTTTTGCCAAATTTATTTTCCTAAAACACAGCTCTTTATTCAAGGGAGTCTTCTGCAAATATTTTTGACAGGACAGACTTTGAATCTATTGACTATGATTTCTCCTCACACTTTAATTCCAGCTGATTTTATTTTCTATTATTCCCCTATATTCGGATTAAGATGATTTACCTGCTGTTTTCTTAGAGAGATTTCTTGTTCTATGTCTTTTCACATAAAATGTTTCCACGTGGGATGCACAACCCCTCCCAATTGCCATTTATGTAAATTCCTAGTTTCCTTTAGCCTCAGCTTGCTGGCTGGCACTCCTCCATGCCTCAGCTGGCAATGATTTTCCTATTATCTGAATTTTGCATTCTTCACTATACAGTTTGCACTTGTAATTCCTTTTATTGAAGTTGGTATTAAGTATCTTATCTCTGCATTATGTAGCCTATTTTTTCCCAGCTCCCTAGAGTTAGCAGAGTAGAAGAGTGTGCAGAATACACTATCTATTCCCAGAAATAAGTATGTACAGAATAAGCCTATTGGATGAAAAAAAAACAATCAATCAAGATGGATGCTAGAAGAATGTGTAATGAAGTTATCACATGAAAGTCCACTGGGTTGTTTGATTGCCTAGCAGGCTGATGGGGCCAGTGTCGAGGTATTTGAGCAGGGAGATGAGAAATTGGAAAAATGTGGCAGTTTCCAGCAATGCTGTTAACTTCTGAACAACTCAGAATGTTAAGTATAGAGACAATTAAAACTTGAAAGAGTATGATGTTTGTCCTCTATTGCCTGAGCCAGATATAGAAGAGTAGCTGGGATATCTTAATAAGGTGAGGAAACCAAGCATTAAAGTTAAGTTCATTTTTTGTGTGTGTATATGGTTTGATTTTGCTACATCTCAGTGAAAAGTTAGCATTTGAGCAGAATAATCTGATTTATAATAATGTACCACTGATCTCTGTGTCTAAGTGGACTGTATAATGAACTCAGCAACTTCCTCTTCCTCTCCATATAAAGGTAATTTCTAGCATGATAAAGTAATTAATGTAGATTGGGATTTTTGAGAACTGATATAATAATTTTCTGCATGGAATTCATCCCAAGGCCAAACATTAAAATCATGACTCTAGTCATTCATAATAACCATATATAATTCCTTATTTCTGAGTAGAATAAGCAGAATGATACTCTCATTCTCTAACCTCCAAAATATCTGTCCTCAGCAGACTTATAACCAATATCTTTGCAAAAAACTATATCTGCTTGGCTTTATTGCTTAAAATGTATTTCATCTAGATAAATTTAAACTCTAACTCTTCGCCAGCTGCATGACTTTGGGCAAATTTTGAAATCTTTCTAGGCTTCAGTTAACTCACAAGTAATGGGGATAATTAACAACACTTACTTCATGCAGGTTGGCGGAGGATTTGTAGGAAGGTTGCCTGGCAAAGTGACTAAATTGCAAGCAAAAAATTAATATTTTTTCTTTCTTTACCCGCCACTCACATAAACAAGAAAATTCAAAAAGGCTGGTGAAAAGTTCTAGAAAAACTATGAATCTCTATTTCACTTTTTCTTTTAGAAAATATGAGATGTGTACAATCCAATTTTATGTTTCCTAAGATTCAAAGAAAAAGTGTTTTCTGATTTATTCAATTGCACATAATTACTGAGAAAACCAGATCTAGAATGATGTGTCTTCACCCCTATTGTATATTGTTTCTAGAAACTAATTCTGTAGCCAAGACCAAGTCTTCACACGTGTTCTCAGTACATATTCTTTCATTCTCCCCTAGCTAGGAATAAAAAGATAAGCCAACTCTTTATATTCAAGAGATAATACCTTGAAGATAGTATTTTTTCTGAGGTTTCCAAAAAGCTTTTGGGCAGAGAAAAACAAGCAATTTTCATAGCTTACCTCAATTTTTCTTCATGAACTGAGCGTCCTTATGGAGGGTACACTTCTCGACTAAAAGAGTTGAATAATTCTGTATGCTAATAAGGCAATATATATTCATGGCTGTTGTTAATATTTTTTAAATGTTTGTAATTTAATTGAATATTTTAACTGAAATTCCTGAGTGTCTTCATACTTTATTACATATAATATTTGGCCACAGTGTGCAGCAATGATAGTAGTGATTACCAAGTAACTACATGAGATAATTTTAAAGCAGCTTTTCCTATAGATATTTTAAAAAGTGGCACATGGGATAATTATTTTATAAATATCCATAATAAATGAATTTAAATAAACATATATTGGGTCATGTTACATAAAAATCATAAAAATTTTTTAAACATAACCTTAAGTGCCACCACTCAGGAAAACTTGTCAAAATAATAACTAAATATGAGGCATATCTTGGTTATAAAATTTAAATAGAAAAGTACAAAATTGAAAAGATACTCCTTTATATCCTCTTTATCTCAAAATTCCTTATCCCCCCAAACAATAATTATTTTCACTTATACCTTTGGAGTTTATTTCAGAAAGAAGAGGATTTATTGATAAATACAATTCTTTTTTACTTCATAAAAGATATATTGAATATATTCTTTCAATTCTAGTAGCAAACATGACCCATGCCCAGTTTGTCAACTTGATAAATTTCTAAACACACAAAAATATGTCATGTCAGAAAGCTAGGCTGCACCTTCAATTTAGAAAGGTAGAAAGGTAAGATCAGAAAGTCAGTTAGCAATTTACCTGCAGTACCATTTATTACCCCGCACTAGGTTAAAATTAGTTACTACTTCTGGGAAATAAAGAAAAACTGCTACTAGTATGTTGTTCATTTTAAGGATTGAAGACCACTCACACTTAGTAGAAAAAAATGACTCCTCATAAGAATCTCTTTTTCCATTATAGTTAACACAATCTAAAATACACTATAACAACTTATTTTCATTCAAGCAAATTTTAAATGATTTTTTTCCAGGCTGAGATAAAATGTCTCTCTCTTTGTTCCTTTCATGTCTGTTCCTGATATTCAACAGAGCTCTTGTGGAACTTACCATACTCTGTCCAGTGTAAGAGTATGGTCTATGCAAATTCAAAGAAGCAATGAATATTTCCAGCAACTCCACGTTTATGGTGTTGTGCTAAACAACTGTAGACTAAACATCAACCTCTGTTCCTAGGCTTTGATTGTGAACTTCTAGATGATTTCATACCATGTCTGTTTTCTTGATATTTATTGGTTGAATTCAACTAAATTGAAAGATTATAAGCAGTAATTATCAACTAATAATATTTCAAGGGAAAGAGTAAATAATAATCATCTGTCCTACCCATTCCCTCTATTCTTATGTTTCATATGTATTTCACATTTCTTCTGTTTATCTTTTTTCTCCTTTCCCACTGTTTTTCTCTCTTCTGAAATCACACAACACTCACACACACACACACACACACACACACACACACACACACAGTTTTAAATGTTTCAACTTCCCTTACCGGGTTGAAGATGCAGGCTCAGTAATTTGTCTTTGCACACGTGCATGCTTAATTAAATGTTCTTTTAAAGCAGTTTGAACTTCTGCTGGGATATCGGGGGAAGTGTGGCTGATTTTTATTGCAGGCTCAATAGCTTTCAGTGCTGGCTTTCCATTTTCTTTAAGCTCTTTCTTCTCTTCAGTCTCAAGCACTTCGGCAGGATCGCTCTCAGGGGCCTGCGGAAGAGCATTGGTGTTGCAGGTCACGGGTTTGCTCTTCCAACAAGGCCAGCACAACTTCCAGAAGACAAAAAGAGAGACCACCAACAGGGCCAGGCCACAGAAGCTGACGACGACTGCTAACAAGCTGACCGAAATATCTGGGGAGAAATTACAATGTGAAGAAATACTAGTTCATTGATACGTACATAAAAGAGCAGAAGTGGCGAGGTGATTTTATATTATAACTACTAGTAACAGCTTCTTCATTTAGAATTTCAAAAATTTAATTTTAAGTCATCTTGGTAGGGAGAAGAAATTAGTAATTATGTCAGAAAATTCTCAAAGGAGATGTTTGAAAAATTCCATCCCAGGGAAAGTTTTGGTTGTATACCAAAAAAGCATGATAGATGCATATTATTTCCAAGGACATGATAAGGGGTCCAAGAGTTTGCAAAATGAAGGTTGGCTACTTGCAACCTGCCATGAAGACATGAAGCTTAAGAAACTCAGAAACTGCATAAGCAGAAAAAGCTTCTGTTTCCTTCATCTTTAATTCAACCTTCTCTCTCTCTGAGCAGGAAATAACATTAAATATTTGTATAAACCACTTTATATAGTGTAAATGAGAATAACATATTACTAATAGAGAATATGTGCACTATTAGCTGTATTTTCAAACTCTATAGTTTGATAACCTTGCATGCTCCTAATTTCCAAAGTCCAAAACTAGTTTAGGATTTGTTATCTAAGTACCTTTACAATATTCTTATTGAAAAATATTTACAAATTAATACATACTTATTATGTAAAATGATTCAAAGAAATATAATAAAAACATTAATAAGATTGACTAAATAAATGGGAGAGAAGTGACACATCTCTTATGAAGAAGAATTACAAACAATTTATGTAGATATTTTGCCTTCAGGAAGGTGGAGCACATGCCCTTACTCAAGTGTGGCTTGCACAGAGTAACTTCCTGCCAAAGAATACAGTATGGAAAGTGGTAAAAAAGGTGTAACTTTACAGTGGAGAAACCTCACCCAGTTGGTCAAGTTGAACATCAAGAGTGATAAATCATATCGATAGCATGTACACTTCATATGACATGATGGAAATGACACTTTACCTCTGTGGTCTTCCTGCCTTAAACCTGTAGCCTGAGTCCAATTATGAGAAAAACATAAGACAAATTGCAGTAGTAGAGCGTTCTACAAAATACCTGACTAGTACTCTTCAAAATTGTCAAGGTCATCAAAAATAAAATAAATAAAGTCTGAGAAACTGTCATAGCCAAGAGGAGACTAAGGAGACATGACAACTAAGTGGAATGTGATATCCTAGATGGAATCCTGGAATAAAAAAGGATATTAAGTAAACACTAAGGAAATTTGAATAAAGTATACACTTCAGTTAACAATGTTCCAATACTGGTTCATTAATTGCAATAAATGTACTACTCTAACATAAAATCATAATAAAAGAAAATTTGTATTATCTTTACAATTTTTTTCTGTACATATAAAACCATTCTAAAAACTAAAGTCTATTTTAAAAAAGAAAATATCTCCCTACCTGCTTCCATTTTCATATTCCTAGGTAATCAATGCTAGCAATCTGGTGTTCTAGTGTTCTTCAAGTTCTGAAGACCAAATAGATTTCCTACGAAGGAAAATTGTTCTAGATTCAAATAACTTTGCAATTTATCTCACAAATTTAGTTTAGCCTTCGTGTCAAATATGAATCCAATTTCTTTCATTTGTTTTAAATAAAAATGTTATGAGTATGTTATAGGCTGAATTATGTCTGTTCCTCTACCCCAGGGGTCCTCAAACTGCGGCCAGCGGGCCACATGCGGCCGCTGAAAACTTTTATCCGGCCCGCTGGGTGTTTTTGCCGCTGCTGCCTGTCCTGCTTAGCAGCCGACTTGTCCCGGGCCCGCAGTGCGCATGTGTGGAATGTGCGCCGCACTCTCCGACTCCCCTCCTTCTCTCTGTCTCTCGACTCCTCCTCTCAGTCTCAGGTGTGATCAGATGAGTCACAAGCTTGCCTGTGCAGAGCCTGCTGCTGCCTGAGGACCGAGGTAAGAACAAGTTAGGATTTATTTATTTTTTTTTGAAGTTAGGAGGTCTATTTTTTTTTTATTTTGCAGTTAGTAGGGCCTCTTTTTTTGAAGTTAGGAGAGCCTTTTTTTTTTTGAAGGTTTGTTTTTTTTACTTCAAAATAAGATATGTGCAGTGTGCATAGGAATTTGTTCATAGTTTTTTTTTTTTTAAACTATAGTCTGGCCCTCCAACGGACTGAGGGACAGTGAACTGGCCCCCTGTTTAAAAAGTTTGAGGACCCCTGCTCTACCCCATCCAAATTCTTACGTTGAAGTCCTAACGCCCAGTTCCTCAGAATGTGGCTGCATTTGGAGATAGGGCCTTTAAATGAGCGATTAAGGCAAAATAAGGTCATATGGATGGACCCTAATCCAATATGACTGGTGTCTTTCTAAGAAGAGGAGATTGGGACAAAGACACTCACAGAGGGATGACCATGTGAAGACAAAGGGAGAAAGTGGTCCTCTGCAAGCCAAGACGAGAGACCTCAGAAGAAATCAACCCTTCCTGACACTTTTATCTCAGCCACTCAGTCTGTGGAACTTTGTTTTGGCAACCTTAGCAAACGAATACAGAACAAACCTAATTTCCTTTAACTGGCACTGTAAATCCAGGCGTTCTTTTCCTCCCCAGAAGCAACCACTTATCTTAGTTGGATGTGTATCTGTCCAGGCCAAACACTAATAAACAAAAATACCTCTTGAAAAACATAAAGACACAGAATTGTTTAATATATTCTTTACATAAATGGTTTACTCCATATTTACTTTTTACATAAATGGTTTACTCCATATTACTCTTTAATTTGCTTTATTTTTTTTATTCAGCAACACTGCGGTCTAAGTTCATGTCACATAGCACTCCATAATACTTCATCATAATGGATATTTAGTTTATGCCCAGCTATTACAACACAGCTATAATTAGTGTCTTTGTACCCTCTTCCATGTGCATATTTGGGGATGTTTCTCTAAGGTTAATTCTAGAAATAGAATTGTAGAGTCACAGGTTATGCACATATTTAGTTTTACTAGATATTTCCAAATTGTGACCCCAGAGTGGCGGTAACAAAAACATCATATGAGTTTGTCAGTTCCTATAATATCAGAGAAATATTGCTGTACTTTAATTTTCACTGATCTGACGGGAGAAATGATACCTTGTTTTAATTTACATTTTCCTGATTAGTAAGATAAATGGTTCTGTTTAAACTCCCAATTTGTAGCTAATGAAAATCCATTCAGAAATTAAAATTATTCCAAGTTTTTACTGCTACTTAATTATAAGGATAAAAATTAATTTGATATGATGTGATACGGAGACATTAATATTTTCCTTACTTTCCAGTTGATTATCAATAATTGAATATATTTCCCATTTATGTTCCCTTGGTGAGAAATATGTGATCATATTTTATATTTTGTACTTCATTTTATTTTTACTTTTGATTTTCATCAGCACCATACTTTTGGGAAAGACAAAAAGTATAAAATGAATGTGCTTCCTGAATATTAACTGTGGTTTTAAAATGGAAGAATAAACATGACAGTTATGGCTTCCTAATCTTCATGTATTTTCAGCTCCATTTACATTGTATTTTATGAATATTTTAACCCAATTAACTTCTCCAACAGGCTAACTTCTACCCAGTTAGAGCCAAATGCCAAGATATAAGAAAACTGTGGGACAATGTGAGGTAGGGAAAGGGAGGGGAGTAGTTTTCAGTCTATAATGGAACACTCCTCATTTCTTACTAATGGGGGTCAGACATTAGAGATCTTTTATTACTCCACCCACAAGGATTTTATGAAATTCTTTTATGCCCTTGTTCCTTAGTGATGAGCTTTGGCATTCATAAGTTTGTCCTCATCTTAGAGAAAAGCCCTGTGGAAATCTCTGACCCCAGTTCCATCTTGCCTATTGCTGACAATTTTCTTTCTAAAATCAGTATCTGGTTCTATCATTTGGGGGAGCCATAAAACATTTCAAACAAGTCACTTTTGAAAGTGAAAGGCTGTGCTATCAATAATTCCAGGGTAGCATGAAGAAAGACCAAGTTATGTCCTGGAAACTGAGTTATATACTCACTGTCTCAGCTCTCTTAGCCTAACATCCTTCCAGGTCACCCCTTAGCCAAAATTTGCATGGCATTCCATAGCATCTTTGTGATTTGACTCCTGGCTATTGACCCAGCTTCATTCTTCTGCCACTCTCCTACCTATACTTCTTACTCTGACTACACCATTACTCTCTCATGAATTTGTTCAGGCTGTTTCATGTAGCTCCACTATATTTTCTCCTCCTATTTGGCTGCCTGGAAAATTTCTATTCATTCTTCAATAATGAGATACAATAATGCCTCTTGCCCGAAGCTCTCTCTGCTTCTCCTATTCCTACAGGCTTTTAAAGCACACCCACCATGCTGACACTAGTATTATAATAATTGATTGGCCTATAAATCTTTAACCCACACTCTTAGAACATATGTTTCAAAATTATTATTATTTTCTTTTGGATATTACAAAGGTAACATGGTACACATTATCCAGGATAACATCTAGTAATTAAACATATTAATATATCTATAATGAACTACATGAATTAGTTAACACTCAGTGGGATGATTGAAGACTGTAAGTAGTTAATGTCAATTCAGGTGAGGTGTTAATACCAAATTGTCATAATTTACGAAATAATGTTCAGTTGTCAGGATTTGAGGTTTCATAATTGTGGATAAGGGATTACGGATCTGTACTTATTTTGCTTTTCTAAATGTTCCCATACTACCAATACACTCACTCCCCTATCCTTCAGAACAAAATCCAAATTTATTCACTTTTTTATTTCTAGTGTCTGGTATATATCACAAAGTCAAAAATGTTTATGGAGCTACTGAGTATATATTTTGGGAGTTGTCTAAAAAGACAATAAAATGTCTGTGGAGTTCAAGGTGGCTACTGACCTAAAGTTGACTGATTTGGAGGGAATATGCAGAAACCCTTCTACTAGGAAGACAGTATAACAGCTTGTACTGTGGAACAATTTAGACATGGATTCAAATGTCAACTCCACCATTGCGTGATTTTGGGCAAGCTGCTTAGGTTTTAAGAACCTCAGTAAAGTAGGAATATTTATTTGATAGAAATGTTGTGATATTTAAATAAGAAAATGTATATAAAATATTTAAGTAATTCACGTAATATATATGAAAATGGGTTGCTATTATTATCAATTATCTTTTTTTAAAACCAAGAGTAAGTACTGAGGAGAAAAGAGGCAAAGGCATGGACTGGGTATAAATTGAATGGTGGGTCACAATTTAGAAAGGAGAGGAGAGACTCATCTTATGATGATATCTGGTACTGAAGAGTGAATTTTTAATAATGGAGACCAATATTTCTAAGTAAATGTTAATGTTTAGGAAGCTAATAAATAACATTCTATTTTCCTACTTATTTGTGCAGAGTGCAGCTGAGGGACAGACACAGTATTCAAGCTGGTAGCAATTAAAATACTTGAGAATATCACCTTAGGTCTATTAGAAAGTGGACTTGCTAATATATCACCTTGAATTAATTAAACTTACCCATACAGGCACAGGCCTGGCTAGACAACGATAGGTGTTCCCCATCAGGACTCAATCCTGTAAAATTCACTACATGGAGGAGCAGAGAATATTTGTTTCCTGAGCATACACCTCAAAGGAAGGGTAACAGCTAAGTCATATCTCAGAGATGGGAGTGGGATAAGGTTCCATAAATATTCCCATCTTGGATCTCCTTCTATCCAGAAATACAATGCAAGGGGAAAAGGTATTTCCCCTCAATAGCAACAAGTGAAAGAAGGTAGATTAAATACAATTTTATTTTGAAAAATAAAAGACTATAAAAATAAGCTACTTGCATTTTATATAATTTTACATTGCTTGCAATTATGACAAATCATTAAAAATATTTTAAAAATCTGTTTAATACTTAGATCTTTATGACATGATTTTTTAAACAAAATCTGTTCAACAAAATAAAAAATAACCTATCAAAAGATTATGGGAGGATTTATAAAGTCATCAAAATGTTTTAATGACTCTTTTGTGATTGTGATTCAACAGTTAACCATGACATAAAAAATATTATGACTTTGGATTTAGTGCAGTGAGAAACAAGTAGCCCTAGTAACATTTTTAAGTCAATTACTGAAATGGTCTGGTATACATTTCAGAAATGATGCTCTGGCTAAGGAGAAGAGTGCAAGCCAGAGTAGAAGAGGAGAAACTAGGTAACAGAATTACAATAGTCATCCACATAAAAGATTATCGCGGCTCCAAATGAGGGTTTCTCAAATGGGGGAAAAGATCAGATTCTGGAGATAATTGGGAAGTCAAAGCTGTAGTGAAAGAGTGTGGACTGAAGGACAAGAATTCGACACTTTAGGAGACAAACAGGATGATGATGTAAGGAAGACCATGACTTCAGCTTTGGCCTTACTGAGTTTCCAGTACCTGTGGTCATGCCAGTAGAAATTCTGAGCAAACTGCAACTCAAGATAAAATTGAAGGACTTACTTAAATAGTGGAATCTGAATCCAAGAAAGAGACGATAAACTCTTCCACAAAATCCTGATTACACCAATATTTAAGAAATACAACTTTAAGGAACAAAAAGCCTGCATGAATAAAGGTTGGTAAAGAGTAAAGTATAAAAAGAATCAGATCAATGTGTTTTCATAAGTTTGGAGGAGAATAATTTGAGGGTTAAGTAACCATTAAATTTAACAACTAGGTGTTTAATGAATTTAATGATGCTAGTGAAACAAAGGTTGTGTTAACTAGATTAATGTGGTTCAATGAGACTAATGAAACAAAGGTTAATGGAGTGAGGATGTGAA